AGAAATTACAATCTTCTTGAGCACGAAGCTCATTGTTAAAAAATTCCATAACCTTATCTAAGTTCCATACTTTACCACAAAACTGTCTCGAAATAATCATATTAATCTCATCGAGCAAGCGGTCCTTTAAAATTGGAATGAGAAGAGAGCCATACCCACTGGTGTCAAGCTTAAGAGATTTCAAGTTCCTCATACAGTTTTCAACATGACTGTACAACATCCTTAACCCCTTAATGTTATCAACTGACTTAATTTTATTAATTTTAAGTAGAGACTCCATATGTGCAGAAATGAGCACCTGCTCATTCCCAAATCTATCCTTTAAAACCTGAACTGCCTCCTGATAATTATCTGAAGTTAAAGTCAACCCTGAAATAGCCGCAAGGGCTTCCCCTTTCACACAACCTTTTAAATAATTGAATTTATCAATATCACTTATGTTTATATTACTGTGGATCGACACTTGATACTGATCCCAGAACCCCTGCCAATCTAAGGGTTCCCCCGTAAACTCTGGTAATGCTAATTTTGGCAGCTTACAATGCGCAGGACTTCTATTTGTGCTTAAACCGGCTGCGCCTAAGGAATAACTTGCGCTATTAATATTACTTTGCCTTTGCTTAATTTCTTCAAGTTTCAAATCCGCCTTTGCCAAAACTTGGTGACAAGGTTCTAAAGCTTTCATGTGACGAATAATTTCCGGCTCAATGTCCTTTGGATCTATCAAGGATAATATTTCATTGTGCACAGTCGCCAATTGTTCGATAATACTAGCCACATTGTTTCTCAACCCAAGGAGTTTAGATTGCTCGCAATCACCGCTTTCCGAAGAAACATACTCGTTTAATTCACTTAAAAGAGTTTTCAAATACGCGTCGAGACCAAGGTGTCTGCCTTTAGCCCTTGCTAATTTTTCCTCCATGACAAATATGAAATATGAGATACCGACTACACCATACACACTGTGGACGCGTTTTTACAATACAATGCTACGTATGACAATTAGACACAAAAAATATATAGAATTTCTAACCTTTACTATATCATAAAACCTATACACTTCAGAACAATGCACAACCCCAAAGGGATCTCTCAAAAGGAAAGAATTTACCTCTAACCACAATATCGACCAACCGACACGCTCGCGAATGACTCACAGACTCGTGTTCACTGTAACACTGTCGTCGACTTAAACGCACAATTATTGATACCTCGTATTCCGTATGATGTTCTGCCGTGTCCCCTATCGGGCTCCATGTAAAAAGCACTCTCACACTTGCCTTTTATATAGTTATTTTAATATAAATAACGCAACATAAATTTACATGTTGTCCGTTTTATTCCAACTAATTTCCGATTGCCCTACACGTGTCTTTTTAATCGTCTCACCACGTGACAGCTCACGTGACAGCTCACGTGATTATAACAGAACCAATAATGTTATTAAAAGTAAATAAATGTGTAATGTAAAACGTCATGCACTAGATTAATGTTTTCTACAAAGGTCTTGCGCCACTGAACAACAGCTTCAGCAGGTGCCTTGGGAACAGCTGGCTTGTGGTCGATTACTGGGTTTATTGATAAGTAGAAACTTTTATTCTTAGGAACTTTATGTCGCTCATCGCCGTCGCAATTGCGTAAGAAAATCTTTGTTTATAGACTGTTTTCATTTGTTATAATGAACTTTCTTCAGTCGGATACGTCGCAGATATTGTTGAAGTGTTAGGGAAATATGAGTTATATCACTATCTGGAAGATTACATCAAGACAGGTATGTTTCCAAATAAACGGTCTTTGGAGGAACTATGTTGTTAAAGCCATCGATGAACATGAAACAGAATGCTGGAAAGACAAAATTCAGTGCAGGCCAAACTTGAAACACCTGCGTGAAAACCACCAAAAAGTGCAGCCTATTGTGCACTGGGAAGTTGCTATGCGCTACCCCAAGGATCGGGAAATACTTTCTAATTTAGTAAATGTACTGGTTGGAAAAGTACCATCAATAGTTATGAAGGCTCTGGAAGACCACGAAACGCACTACATATGTAGGCTTTGTAACAAACAACTGTATGATGTTCCATACCATTTTATTACGGATTGCCAAAGAACATCCCAAGAACGCGATAAATTATGGGACAGCCTAACAGATCAGCTTTCCATTCAAGAAATGTGCTACTTGTGCAATCTTTGTGAGGAGGACGTGTATTCTACTCTTTTAAGTGGCAATCATCCGATGTTCAGAAGTGACAAAGAGGAACTTTATCTCTTTCTACTTATTTCCGCCAGAGGAATTATGGATATATTCTGAAAATTAACAACCTTTTAGATTAGAGTATAAGTACTGGTTAAAGCACTGTTATAAGTATATAGTATATGTGCATGTGTAATAATATTTTAGTGTTAAAATTATATATAGTTAAATAATTTTATTAGATTTTTATAGGATAAACTAACTGTACTTTTTTATGAAAGTGTAAGTAGTAAACTTACAGGCTCTCCTGTATTGGAGGTTTTCAAATTAATAAAGAGTATCTATCTATCTGTCTATCTATCTATCTATCTATCTATCTATCTATCTATCTATCTATCTATCTATCTATCTATCTATCTATCTATCTATCAAGAGAGCAATATCTAATTGGCTTATCTTAAAACAAGATGATTCAAGATTGTTTCGTAATGCACTGCAACTAATGTTTATATAATATTTCTATACCAGGGCGACATGGAGTCTAATGGGAAGTCAGTTACTTCGTGTGGCACCATGGTTGATTATTCAACTGGGCCAATTGTGTGGGGAGAGCCTGGCACCAATGGACAGCACGCTTTCTACCAATTGATTCATCAAGGTTTGTAAAATTTGTGTAGCATATACATTTAGTAAAGCTCTAAAATCAATGAAAAAGTATTTGGGGCTAATTTTTAGTGCAAGGCAAGGGAAAAAATCAATCGAGACAGGTATGGTGTACAGACAATCAGGGGCAGGTTGCATGATGTCTTTCCCCAGGGGGGGGGGGTCTGGTGTTTTTCCAACACCTCAAGTTTGTGCAATTTTTCATATTGCCCAACTAGCGAGATATTTAGTATGGCCATATTACCACGAAGATTACATTTCGACTATAGTCGTTGTGGATTTCGATTTACTCTATTAAAATAAATACAGTGATACACCGGTCCCAATGGCAATGATATGTCAATATGTTTTACTGTAATATGATATGATATAGGCTCTATCCTTATCTCATGATGCAACTGATAAAATTTATTGCCCACCCGACACGTATAAAAAACATGAAATACTGCAGTACTACCAGTAGTCAGTACTAAACTGCGGTAGTTTACGAATAAAACATTCGGCGCCTCCAAGTAAAGTTTATATAAGTACGCTATGTACGCTACATTCCTCCTGTCTCCCGTACGCTGGATCAAAATTTCGCTTTAAAACCTTAAAATAAAATATTTTGGTCTCAAAATACTATCAAAATGAAGAGAAATTTAAGACAAATTCATTGACATATGGCTGAAAGGGAGAAAACTAACGATAAGAAAGTTACAAGGGTCAAACGTACTGAATGTTTTGTCAACAATAGTCGATACAATTTCACTTGTAACGCAAATTCGAACGGTGTTATTTTTGTCTTGATCAACCAGAGAAATTAGGCGCAGCAAAATTAAAAGTCGGCTTCACATTGTTTCCTCACAAACTAAACGAACAAACTCATGAGCAGAATATAATACAGCGCTAAACTTGGCCACCACCGCAATATTACTAGGCTAAGCTACTTGCTGTAGAGTATAGTGTCGCTGACATTTGTATTAATGAATACCTATATATTAATACTTAATACTTTATATGCACCAAATATGGCGCTGATTTAAAATTAATAGAAGCCGCACTTTTATAAATCCAACAATAATGCATGTCTCGTAAACGACTTAGAAGCCTTATAGGTTTTTCCCCGAGCCAACGGCGCGGAGCGCCGTTCCGGGGCGAGGGTACTAATTCCGCCCGGCTATTTACACCCGGGGAATGGAAGCATTAGCGAAGTCTAAAGTTCATCAATGATCGCGGGCGTGGGTCACCAACCGTGGGTGGTCATCCTCATGCACTGATCTAAAAAAATATGGCTGTTTGCCAGGAATGGGATAAACAAGATTTCAATTTTCAAAAGCATATATTTGGAAAATCACGTTTCACACAATGAACTTTGAAGCAATTTTTGTTTGAAGAAAAAAGACCATTTACTGTGGAAAATCGTGGAATATAGGGCAAGTTTGCTTTGAATGTTTAATGTTTATGAATTTTGTTGCTTTAATTTATTGCGTAAAACATGCACTGCTTTCCTTTTCAATGAAGTTGTATTAAAGTTTGCTAAATTACCCTGTTTAATTTAAGAAATAAAGGTAAAATGTAAAGGAGAGCAAATTAATTTGAAAACCGAACTGAAATCACTCGACAATTTGAACTTATTTTGTTTTATAAAGTAAAAACAGTTTATCTGGAAAAGCAGTTTATAGTTTAATATTAAAATGCCTAAAATGAACATTTAAAAAATTTTACGAAGCCATTCAGGTTAAATTTTACATTAAATCAAAGCTCACAAAATGCAGAACAACGTACCTACAGTACATATTTCGGAAATTCATTGTTATATAGTTAAAAGCAATAATCTTTCAACTATTTTTGGCCTGTTGTACAAAAAATATAATAATAAAAATTAAATTTATCCATTTTATCGTGTTGCCATGGCAACACTGACGTAACGCGAGCCTGCGTTCAGTGTTGATCAATTAGATGTTAAATCAATGTTTGGAAAATACATGCTAGGGGTTGCTGCATGCATGTATTTCTAGTAAGCCTTATAAATTTTATAAAATGGCAATTGAAATTTTGCCCGATGCAGAGTCAGAGACAACGTATCTGCCTATATGTAGTGTACATCTGTAGCCAAATTAATAATCTTCGACGCTTCGTATAGTTTCTGAGACGTTTCATATAATCAGTCATTTTAAACTTTTATCGTTAATTATCAAACTATTGGTATTTCTCACTTACGGTATTATATTGTAAAATTAAAGAAATGAGAAGCTATAGATGCTGGATATCTAATAGTTATAATTTGGTTTGCTTCAGACAACAACTTCAAAAGCACGTGGTCAAGCACACAGTCAACATGAACCCATCCCGCTTTTTGGTTGCCTTTCTATTAGCCTGCGAACAGGCTCTTTCAATTGAATTAGAGCCTGCCGGTTTAGTCAATAAAAATACGTCTGTGCCCATCACTATTTATAGTTTTGTCAATCAAATGTAAAATACAATTAATAAATTAATACAGACACGCCTTATCAGAGACGCCTTATGTAATAGCCTGCGAATATATGTAAACAAAACGCAAATCTCGATTTCAACGCATGATTGTTTACAACAAGTCTGTAATGTCAAGTTGGAAAGAAACTACAAAAACATTTACACGCAAAAAATATCAGAGAGAGGTCCAGAATGGTCTGAAAGATTATGCGGGACATCCATAAAAATAAAATGTGCATTTTGAATTTGTATTTTCCTTTCTCCAGTCCACGTCTCAATGACGTGAGACTCGTCTATAACAAAAGCAACCAAACGATTACGCAAATGACAACTTGAATATTTTAAAGCGTCAACTGGACACTTGTCAAGAACGTTTTCGGCCGATCCAAATATCAAATGAAATTTCCCCGATTTTATGTCCTCTATCTTCGGTTCGTCACTAACGGCGCAAACCGAGCTCATACCAAGGTCCTTGTCGTCAGCGTGTGGAACCTTGTCCTCAGCGCGAGGAACCTTGTCCTCAGCGCGAGGAACCTTGTCCTCAGCGTCAGGAACCTTGTCCTCAGCGTCAGAAACCTTGTCATCAGCGTCAGGAACCTTGTCCTCAGCGTCAGGAACCTTGTCCTCAGCGTCAGGAACCTTGTCCTCAGCGTCAGCGACCTTGTCCTCAGCGTGAGGAACCTTGTCCTCAGCGTCAGGAACCTGGTCCTCAGCGTCAGGAACCTTGTCCTCAGCGTCAGGAAACTTGTCCTCAGCGTCAGGAACCTTGTCCTCAGCGTCAGGAACCTTGTCCTCAGCGTCAGGAACCTTAATTGGTCCTCTACTTATGATGGCTATAGCGGGTTCTTTTCTTTTTCTCTCCAATATATATATATATATATATATATATATATATATATATAAAGTGCGGATATCGAAAAATATCGTTCTATAGCGATAAAAAATGTATTAGACGAGTTGTATAGAAAACTAAATTTTTGTTTAAAGTTAAAGGATGGGCAGTCAAAAGCTCTTAACAATATTCTAGACGGAAACGATGTTTTTGCTGTATAAAAGAGTTTGGCAAATACAACGGCAACGTTCTTATATCAACAATAGCATCTTTACTCTGAGACAAAGGCGACTATAATTTGCATTCTTGAGCATTCTAGTACGCCGTAGTTGTTCAAACTCAAGTCGTTGCGGTGTTTATGTGAATTCACTTACTATTCCTACTTCAGGGAATTTCAGGGTTGTTTGAAAGAAAGAAAAGTGTTTCTATACAAAAGTATAAGTAATTTTGTTTTCTGCCGTCCCCTTTGTTGGTTGCCAAACTCACTAATGACACTAGTATTACCGACAGGCTATACATGTATATATATATATATATATATATATATATATATATATATATATATATATATATATATATATATATATATATATATATATATATATATATAAGTATATATATATATATATATATATATATATACATATATA